GGCGTTGCACACAAGTCACAAGTTTTACTCTGAGGCCTATATGTGACTAAAAATAGCATCGATCAATGAAAGAGAAAGATTGTGCTAATCAAATACACAGTGAGCAAAGTTCAACCGGTCGTAGGCCATGCATCAGACGGACGGACAGAGTGAATATTGCCGTGAAACGCAATGTTAGTGATTTATCTCCGCGAGATTAGTATTGATCCAAGATGACCCTATTTAGGGTGTTGTTGTTGTTCGATTTTTTCACAGCATTAGCAAATATGCAGTCGGGCTTATCTTGGGACGAATAGCAATGATCTTCATCCCAACAAGAATATCGTCACCGAAGTTTTTGGAAGAGATACAATGTTTGCCTGCGATAGAGTTCAGCAAGTGTAAATAGATAAATCGCTAGTACATGAAATAATGATTTTAACGTCGAATTTCGTAATCTTTTACTCTCAACCCGGCACATAGGACTGGGTAGCAATAAAGAGAGTGACAACAAAGTGGATGAGCAAATACAGTGGAACTGTTAAAGATTGCAAGTGGGAACCAAAGAAACACAATCTTCGAGTCTTTTTAAAGGTAAAGTGGAAATGTGAATTCCACGTAAGACCTTGGCAGATAGTGACACTGAGGTATTGTAGAGAACTTACTGGGCGAACAGACTGGTTACTGACGTATAGTACAGAGCAATTTCTTTCAAAAGGATGTATCCGTTCTCCTTTGGTTAGTGAGAAGGTGACAGCTCTACATTTAGAGGTGATAATAGATAATTTGGAATACGAAGACCATAAGCTTAAGGCAGACAAATTGGTTTGAAGCTGTGAGAAGCGGAAATCACCTATGAATTTGGAACATGTAGTGACATCAGCATACTTGATAAGAAGATCATCTGGGTCAGTGGGTAGGTCTCGGATAACAGGTGACAGTGTTTCTCCCTGGAGCACCCCTGAATTGCCCGCTAGCGAGTCAGAAGTTTTTCCAAGAAACTTCGTGAAATGTGTTCTACCAGTAGGATAATCTTGGAGTAGAGACGGTACTAGTGGACAATCGAGTAACATGGAGTGGCGACAAAAGTCTGTCACTGTCGCACAATTAAATGCCTTACTGTAGACGAGGAAGCACACGAAATACTGTACCATGCCAATCTAGGGATTGCCAAAGTGAGTTTCCCAAGTGCGCAAGGGCATCTGAGGTAGAACGTTTTTTCCGATAGGCGAATTGTCTATGATTTAACTGCCCAGTTTTAGGAATAATGTTATCAAGCGAAGTTTTTCAAAGCCTTTAGTAAAATGGAGGTTTAGGCGATTGAACGAAATCTCCCGCCTTTCATTTTTGAGATTGGCGTGATGCGTGCCGGTCCCCCACAGTCAGAGTTTTTGTTCCATGAAGCAGAGGTTGAAAATGCCGGTAAGTGGCTCAGCCAGATAATAGGTACATTCCTTGAGGACGACAGGACATAGTCCATCGGGATCGGAGGCTTCTGCTGTTTTGAGGCGCATCAGCTATATCCGTATCTGATTAGGAACGGCATACAAANAAAGATTCAGGAAGATCAACTGATTGAAAATATGATTTTGATACTTCTGTTTGAGTTGACTTGGAAAACATACAGTTGAGTTCGCATTGCACTCCAAATTTGCTTGCAATTCCGATCACTAAATAGTTTTACTATTGTCCTATCACGGTTTAGGGTGTCAGTCAGCAGCACTGATGTTTGTTTGACTAAAGCTCGGTCACGATTTCTGTATACCGGTTCCTCAATTCTCCTAAGAGTCCTCAAAGTGGAGGAAGAAAATCTGACAGGGCTGACGTAGATTGAAGTCATAGGGCAACAGAGATCAAAACAGAAGTTCAAATAGTCAGTGAGGTGTTAACACTCGACCGAGACACTTGAGTCAAAGAACTGATCAAAATTTACACAAGAAACCATTTCTCTCAGTGATACTAAGTGTGCCGAGTCCTAGCCCATGAAACATCTTCCGACTGGATGTAAATGTCAGTGTACCATGATGTTTCGTCGAGTAGACATTTGGTAAAACATTCATGATACAATGATCGGAGTTTGCCAGGGGGCTTCTCTTCGGACGGCAAACAGGTCAGGATCGATCGAAATCATAAGGTCAAGCTGCGTGTTTCCTCTTGTGGGGAAACTTACAAGATTGTGAAGAGAGACAAGTCAAGAAATGATTAAAAGCACCACTAACGATAAAAAGAGAGCGTACCATGTAGTTAGAAAAATCGGATGTAAATAAAGCAGCGAACGTCCGTACGTCAGAAATTATACCGGAGGGAGCTATGCAAATTTTTGATGCTACGACAGAACGATACTTACTAAGAGAACGGGATTTACATTCAATCGAAATACATAAAATGAAATCTACGTTGTAGGTGAAGGTAATCTCTTTAGACTTACCCGAAGATTTGGTGTAAATTATAAGGCCACCACCATGATTTCGTAGTGAACAGTTTTTGTACAACCACTGCATATCAAAGAAATGCAACTCAACCCAAGAGTCATTGATGTCAGGATGCAACCAATTTTCTTGTAGCATAACCATCCCCAATGCATGATATTTTTCATCCTAGTCAATTTCATGAAGTAGCTTATTTTTCCAAATAAGGATTATAAACTTGAAGAGCAGATAGAGGGTATAGACATTTTCTGGGGTTTTGCATTGCCTAAACCCACTTACCAACTTGCTAGGTGCTTTGTGAGGAAGCCCGACCTTAACGGTTCGTATTTTTGTATTTATTTTTAACTTGACTAAACGCATAAAAAGTACCATTATCGCGCAATAACATATAAAGCTTTAAATCCTCTACAGATTCCCTATCGTAAGCAATAGTAAAAGCGATGAAATAAACTTGATTCAAACAATGAAATCCAATGTGACATAACGTTAAATTATTAACTGAAGCACAAATGTAGCACCGCCGAGTTTTGAAGGCCCCGCTGAACCCTCACCCCAAATGAAGCATACTATGCGCAGTACTCTAACTGCTATGTACACGTAGCGTTTGTTGATGTTGGTGAGTTCTCCGAACAGGAAGTGTTGTTCGCAGACGTTTCGTAGCCAAGCTAAGCAACATCATCAGTGCGACTTCGACAATCATTCCACATTATTTCAAACACGTAGCGTTTGTTTTACTCAATGCTGTACCCTTAGATATTTCGAGATCGAGTATTTCTAGTCACGAAATTCATAATCAACAGTATTGGTAAGCTCGAATAAGCCTACCTAGACTCAATGAAGCAAACGCAAATGACCGAAAACTTGTTTTGACAAATGCTTTCTCCACGCCAACTCAATCTTGCAGCCGCGGAGTCGAATCAATCACAATATCAAATATTGCATCCCCTTACAGCTGAAGTGAAAATTCTCGTATAAATCCCCGAGTTTTCCAGCTTTTACCTCCTCTGCTCGATGTAAAGACAAAACGATCCCGAAAATAACCATAGTTCAGAACTAGCGTTGAATTGTATGCCTATCGGAACTCTATTAATTGAAATTGATAAAGTTCAACCACCGAACAGAAAAGTGATAGGTGTTCTTTCAGTTTTGAAAAGAAATTGCCCTTGAGACAGCTAGGGCAGGATGGGGTGAGTGTTACATTTAACTGGATCAATTATTTTTCAAACACGTCGATCAAGGCACTAACTGGACTCGAATCGTCACACGAAGAATCAAGAAACTCCAATTAGATTTAATCTCTACCTTCGGATATACGATAATATATTTTGCTCAGAAGGTGATCTGTTTGTAGCACTAAGCTTTAAAGCTACAACAGCCATTATATTGAATCATGTGTACATATTTGCGGGGAACAGATTTGGCAAATTTCGCAGTAGTACTCACATAAACTGGTACGCTGTCATCACCCAACAAACATGTTGCGTTCTACGACTGAAGACAGACGAATAACCAATCAGAACCTAACGTCACAACAGATAAAGTAAACACTTGGTGCTCCCAACGCTCCCCACCCGATATTTCACAAGAAAACACTATCAGAATGGTTTTTATATTGGGTCAAAAGGTACAAAAATGAGATTTCCAAATGCAAGTGAAGTAATGAGACAGGTGGTCGTCAGTTCATACGGCGGAGGCAAAAAATACCCCCAAGCCATCAATCACATTGACGATCTGGCTAGACTGTAGTCCGTTGTTCTTCGTGCGAGTAGTGCCAGAACACGAAGGAAATACAATCGGTATCCCAGGTGGATTTGAGCACAATATCACGTAAATGCTTCTTTCCGTAGCAATGATTCCACATGGACAAATCACAGTTACAATCGGAATCGGCCGGTGGCGGTTTCATCTGGACCAGGTTCACACAGCGGCGACATTTGAAACTGCACCAGGTGATTTGGAGAGTACGGTAGAGTGGCACGGTAGGAGTACAGTTTATGGTGCGGTGGTTTATCGTGTTTCATCAAGAGAAGTACGGCGATAAAACAAATTTAAGTTCGATTCGTTTCAAATCAATCGGGTAAGCAACTAGAGCTGTCTTAGAGCAATGTTTATACATCAAAACATAGACTCGAACATCTGCGGAAAAACGGATGTTGTGGCAAAACCAAGGATGCCTCAAACTGATTACCGCTGAGTAAGCCTTCTATAGGCCTCACACAATACTTCGCGGGGTATCGATCCGCCGTTGCATGTGTGACCACAACAAAAATACCCACTTATTCCATTATATCGGATTCGAAAATAGTAGGAAACTGAACGCTGGGAGCAGTGACTTTATGGCCATGGATTTATTCGAGTCCCCTTAAGATTAGCGTACTGTGAATTGTTCGGCACACAATCTAGACCGCTAACACATCAAACAAAATCAAACGGCGAATAGAAGCACTGAAGTGAATGGTTTTGGGTTTATACTTCATGGGAATATGTCGGTAAAATAAAACACTTGTTACATTAATCCTAAGAAAGATTGGACGTTCAGGGAGAGTTGGCACATTTTTACGGAGTTTATTAACCTGACCTCAATCCGTAATCAAGTCAGTGAACACAGGACAATGTCGTTAGTGAGCAACTAAAACGAATTAACACGTACAATGATGTTGGGCGACCGATTAGTGTCTGATGATGGTTTGATCGAGGTAGCTTGTGTGCTTTAAGGAAGAGAAAGTCCTCTGATTCAAGTGACAGGCAATGGAAATTTATCCGGTTTAGTGATACGTACAAAGCGGTAAAATTTAGGAAATGAGTGCAAGACAAACGTACCGGTCATGTGTGTCTGATACTGTTTCCGAGTGGAATGAAAACAACTCCCTCAAATCACCAAGACTGAAATGACGTTCAACTTCTTCTTGCTGATCCACTACACAGCTGCTCAATGCTTTCTTATGTGCTTGTCTTTGTAACATTTTCTCTTCAATAGTCCCGGTCTGCCAAACAATGGGGGGATCCGTTCACACACTCATCAATACAAGTTTACATGAAAAGAGACATAAAAAACGCAAAGAACCGTAAGTTCGTTGGCGTTTGAGGTAGTGAGTGTAGTATAGAAATCGATAATGAGATCAGAAAGACTGAGTAGAATCGTATCACCGCCAGTCACATCTGACGACAGGTGGACCTCCTCTCACTTGGTGCAATATCACAGCTTTCAGTGGAGCTTTCTAGGGTTTATTGCGAAAAATCCTGAGGTGTAGATTATTAATCAAAGCGCCACTAATCGGTAAATCCGCGTAGATCGACAGATCGTTTATTCTACTTCCGGATATAATATATTGGACAATGAACTGCAATTCCATCGTACATTGCGAAACGCACGACTATATACCAGGACAAACTGACTGACACCTAGTTCAATAGTCAGCTACAAAGGCGAAGGAAAGTTCAATTGTTTTTCGACAAATGGTTGTTATACAAAAAGTAAAAACCAATCGAATCCAGACATAAAGTCATGCACAAATAAAACCCAAGTCTCGGAGTAGGAAGTTCCTTGTTTCGTTCGCCACTGAATTCATATCGGTTTTATAAGACAAAATTTAAATTGTTGCATAGTTACGATATCCCGATGATTTTTCATTCCCCAAAATCAACATATTGTATCGTCAGAACCTTCGTTGGAATTTCGGTTCAAATTTGATTCAAAAACATATGTATATATATATATAATGATTTAAAGGGTATACATCAGCATTGTTCAATTCGAGATGAAGTATCTGTGCCTGCAATGCGTCTGAAGACAGCGTGTATGAAATCGTAACGGGATAGAAATCTCTACCGATCTGGTTGCTAATAGCCTCTTGTTGGTAGGGTATATTTGAGGAATCCACGCGGTGTGAACCTGCGTGTATGCTACATCGCAATAAGCTGTGTGCATGCAACCATTGCACTTTGGAGCGGTTGTTTTGGTTACTACCTTTTGGCTGTCCATTTTTCACAATATAATAAGATTTGATAGCGTCTTTTAACTTGCTCTAGTCAAGACACTGAATTTGAGAGTCGAATACGCAACTTTGACTACCCCATTGAAAATTTAATTCGACTGTACTCTGTAGCTTTATCAGCTTTCTACTTCACTTATCTACGATTGGATCACTGTTTGATCAAATGGGCAACTGGAAGACGGCAATCAAAACCACCGCTCGGATGGGTAGGGTTAGCGGTTGTACAAACTGAACCGCGAGGTCAAGTGCCCTAATATCAATGGCAAGGACTGGATACAAACAGGTGATTAAAAGTTTCTCATGGACGGATGCAGGATTCAGAACAGAGAGAGAGAGCGCACAACTCACCGAAATGAGTCGATAGATAAAACACTCCTTTTTCTGACCATCACGCCACACACGAGCCATGGCTTGTTCATCGTTGGCTGGATTCCAGTCTGGATCGAACATGACCAACCGATTCGCCCCGATGAGATTCAAACCACATCCACCTGCTTTACTGCTTAGCATGAAAATGAATTCGGGTGACTGAAAGAAGTAAAAAAATAAATAAGGATTCAGGGAATAGCAGAGATGATGGACTGCGGAATTCATTTCAAATAAACGCAAGCGGGAATATATTTTTTGTTACAATTCAGTCTGATGTAATATAAAAAGACCTACTGGTTAGCTCGTAGAGCTGGTCAACTGGACTGAAACAACTGAAACCCCAGGGCTCATAATAAAAGAAATGAAATTCTGTTTTCAATGCTTGATTATGCTCATATATAGTCCCATGGACCACGCCATTCTCGCATTGCCTACTTCCTTTATTCCGGGAAAAAACATAGCAGACTGTAACAACCGTCCTTTATTATTACAGAACAACAAAGTAAAAATAACTTTTCGGCTTTAGTTAGCACAATCACATGACAGTTTTAGTTTCTAAGTTTTGGATGCCTATTTGATTAACCAGTAAGGAAGGAAAGCTCAAGACTAAGAGCGTTATAAAACATCCAAAAAGAAAGTAAACTACTTCTGATCATAAAGTGAGTAGATGCATGAGCGCCACTGCTTACAACAGTCAACCGCATCACAGTGTATCTACACATTTATTAGATTAGTCACCTGAAGGTCATCCAGAGGGTCTAGTGCGGCCGGGTCCTCCGATCAGGGTTTTCGCCTCTGCATGCCAAATCGTAGGTTGAGCACCTCCGTCTTGTTCCACCTATTAACTGATTTAGAAGATCACTCGGTGACATAGGTAACACAGATCCTAGCCATCTCAATCCGGTTATTGCGTGACCACGATTACCTGAACTTCTGAACCTAATCTCGGCACGGCTTGTCCGGTTGTGCCACCNCACTGATAGTCTATTTTTATCCTCCTGCCGTAACAGCCAAGTCTCTGTATCAGTCTACAAATCCACCATGGGTGGTGGTGGTGCAGTGGTTTAGTCGCTGTCACTGGCGTGCTTGGGACCCCATGCTCCGAGGTTCGAGCCCCGCCACCGCCACCCAACTTTGGTGGTAGGCAGCTTTGCTGTCGTCCGGTTCTATACCACGCATGACCTATAGGGCCCTTATGTGATCCGCCACTTCAAGTACCAAGAATCAGGTTATCGGTTACCATCACTGAACAGCAGGTTCTCGTGGCTATGGAGTTTATCCCGTGTGCTGTTCATCACACTTAGTTATATAATTAAAAACAAAACAAAAAAGAGCGTTGATCCTCAAAAGAGCTGTACCGTTATACCCCAGTCATTATTATCGCACAGTGACATACAGTGATTGCTACCAAGCTCTTAGTGTACACAAGGTCAATGATAAAGTAAAACACGGGTAGAGTTTGAGCCCAATTAGAAGGGAACTTCCAGAGTCAACACAGTGCAAGCATGCCGTTTCAAGCATTCTGACCTGATAGCAAATGACAAAAAGAACCCTGCAATCGGTTTGTTGCCATATCCTTTAGTGTCTCCAACCAACTAATTACAGTCTTGCGGACCCCAACCAGGAAGACGGGAGACACCTATTCTACTAATCGCCCTGTGCATTTTTTCATGCCTCGTTTCCACGCCATCTGTTAACCTCAACGTGGTTTCCTCCAACCTGGAACCGCAACTGCGAATAAGGCGCGGTGCGGTTGACGACAACTGAGTATGCGAAATAAGTGTCCTAACGAGCGAAGCCTACTGATATGAATTTTCCACCGAATCATTACCCAACGACTTACCTCAGAGATACCTACACGTTCACTCCCTCCAACCGGCGATAAACTACGTAAACATCGGCAGTCGAAGATTTCTAAAGAATGAATCTCTTCCACGCGCAAATTAAGGATCTTGAAACCATAAAGCAGGACTGACCGCACATTGGCGCAGTAGACGCGAGGTTTTAGTTTCAACGAAACATCGTGTCTGCACCAAAGGTGTTTCAGCCCTGTGTACGCTGTTGGTGCCTTGAAAGTGCGAGCGGTTACTTACCTGACTATGTCACTGTCGTTTGTTACGCGACTACCTAAAGAGGAGAAATATTCCACTATAACTAATCCTTGACCATCAAGCATCAGAGCTGGGGTAGACGACACCCAATCTTGTAGCATCACTTTGCACTTTGAAGGTGCAAGGCATATACCAGAGGGAGTAACAGAACTTAAAAATCCGTCAAGAGCGCTTTGTGTATCCTCCATGCATTCGAACAAACAAACGATGTCATCAGCGTTCGCTAAATCGCACAGCCTTTCACCAGCTGTCCATTCAATACCTACGTTTTGGAGACCACCTAGTGCATTCCCCAGTATTTCGTCGACGACGAAATTGAACAGGGTTGGTGAAATAGGGCACCCTTGGTGAACACCACTCCTGGTTTCGAACGATCTGCGCAGCCTATCGTAGAACCGTACACTACCCGAAGTACATAGGTACAGCGACCGCAATAAGTTTACATAATTATGCGGCATTCCTTTGCGAAACAGCGAACTCATTAGTGGTCCACGGTCAACGGAATCGAAGGCTACTTTTAGGTCCAGGGACACTGCGATTGTTGGTCAACGATATGTGTGGCGCAGTTCAAGTGCTTGACACAGAGTGAAGATTTGGTCGGTGCAACCGCGACCTGGCCGGAAGCCTGCCTGCTGTTCTGTTATATTCATCTCCCTTAAGGGTGTCAGGTGGCAAAGTATCACAGAAGTTAACACTTTTGTGGTAATCGACTTATCCGACTTATCCCGCAAATACATTTTACAAATTACATGAGAAGAACTTACTGTAGGGTCATTGAAACGTTCGACGACTTTGGCGCGTTTCTTGATAGTCATCGTACCATCCAACCTCACATAAACGTAGCTTGAGGAAAGAAAAGCGGACCGAATAAACGAATAAGACCGCGGATTTGACTGATTGATACGAATGCCGTTTAGCGAATATCTGATAGTTTTTATAAGGAAAGCGAATCGGATGCTTAATCTGTTAGAGATCTGTGTGCAGGTTAACAAAAAGCACAAGACTGCTGTTCGGATATCAATTTTTATTATGCATAGCACTGTGATAAACAGCAGGAGAAAGCCCCAAACTCGGGAGGGTCTACTATTCACTAATGAGAACCGAAAACCTAAGGTCCGAGACCTGTAGTGGTGAACCACATAAGATCCCATTAACATATGAGTGTTATTGGGCCGGGCAAAAACGAAACTGCCTACCACAAAAGTTGGGTGTATGGGGGTCTGAACTCAAAGCATGCCAGCGAGAACGATTTTTACCGCTTGATCTGCACCATTACGCATGGGCACTATTTCAGAGTCCCTGATTAGACTTGAATTGAGAACCATGGGTTTGGGACCCCCTCGGGTTACACGGTCGACCGCTAACACCCTGGTTATGTTCATGTCTCGAAAAGTAAATACACAGACCCTGATGTTGGTGCATTCGCATGGAATTTGGCAAGACATGATTCACAGAACGAGAACATGAAACACGGAAATCTCACTTTCTGGATTGACAAAGACGTTCGAAAAGATCCAATGTTTGAGTGTAATTGGATATTAGCACAACCTTATCCGAGGTCGTGGTTCGGATAAGGGCGAGGAGACAGTCCAAAACTTGAAATTTGCCTGTAACGGTACAGACAGCAAGATACATAGACATTTAAATATAGAATAACGATGAAAAGAGCAGCAACAAAAATGACAAATGGATAGACAAATGCACGAACCAGACAGATTTGCTCGGAACGGTGCGTTTGAGTCAAGCGAGCTTCGATAATCCGGAGGAAAGTGAGCTAACGCATTTTGAAATCCGTCCGCATTGCTAGCCATCTTTTCATAAACCAAATCGGGATCTGGTGAAATGAGAAACAGATTACTGAGATCAGCAAAATGGAGCATGAGCAGAGGAAAAGCACAGAACATATATTGAGGTCACTATCGAGGACAATTTGCAGCCCAACAAGTTTGAAACAGATGTACAGTGATGATCTGGTTCTCAATTCAGGTTGTATTCCTTTTGTGGATAACAGAATGCCACTCCATTTCTTAAGTACTCCTTATGCCTAAAACACAACATTCGTACAAACACAATAAGGAGTAAGCCGTTCGTCCATAAACGGATCAAGCGACTGATTCCTAATATTCCAGTTTGCACACCAATGTCTATCTGTATACATACTTGTCCCTAATCCACATTACCGGTCTAATTATTGGGACAGTTTTGTTCAATACACATACAGAGAGAGGTAGGTTGAGTATACCATGATACTGCGTTTACCATGTGTCGACAAGCCTGTACGTACAGGTAAGACCAGACGAGGGATACCAGAAAGTGTGATAGAAGATGTAAGTACAAGAGAAAAGAACGTGTCAAGAAAACCACCCAACAATGGTAAGGTTGGATTACAGACTGTTGAACTGAACTCAGACAAATGTCAGAATAAAAAAGCAACTATATAAAAACGTTACTGAAAGCATGATTGGATTGGATAAGATCACAAACAGGACGTACGATTGCATAGCTTTTTCAAATGCGTGATTGAGGCTAAACTGGAGAGAGATACCTTGTCCGTTCGACCCCCACCGGCTTCTCGCAATCGATTGGCCACTTCAAGCGCTTTTCGTGACACAAAATCACAATAGACAGCCCGCTGACTGTCGGTTAGTTTGCAACAGACCACTTGTTCAACTGACAAAACAAATAATATCAAACGGAGTATTACAAAACGGGAAGCACGATAGAGAGAGAGGGATCATAATATCTGAAACTACAGTACAACCGACTCTAGAAACAGTGAATTCGGGAGGACTATGATATTCGTCCTTTTCTTTGATGAGCGTATATGCAATTACCGTTTCGAGGAGATTGCAGTCAACCAAACAATTGCCCGGTTCGTTTGGAACTACATTAGCTTGATTCACGGTAAAAAGGTAAACATCATAGTCAAAAGGTACACTCAAACAGAACAGAGGTCTCATTGGGAGTGATGTCTGCTACAAGTCCAGTCTGTTGATTCTGCGTTTAAAGACTGGATTGTGTTTAGGTAGGATGGAAAACGACGGTGTCAAATTTGGCTACGCAAGAGAAAAAGTGATGCCTGGTAGCATACATCCCGCCACTGATGGAGAGAGTTGAGAGAAAAGGGAACAGATAGTGCGGTTTCTGACCGTCAATGGGATGCAGACAAAACTGAACAGGCGCTTCATCAACAGTTCTGCTTATCCAGTCTCCATGATCCATTTTATATCATGAACTTAAGTCAGAGGTGTAGTAAAAGCTTTGCCGAGCGTTTCAGTTAAGGCAACTATTAACCTTAGACTTTCTGCGACGCAGTTAGCTGCTATTTTTCTCGTCCACTTGAATGAAAGAGTAGATAGAACTAAAAAGCTGTTAGCAGTGCAAGAGTAAAGATACAGAATGCAGTGGCCATAAAATCGTGTATATGTACGAGCGCCACGACAGTCAGTTGTATCACATAGTGTCTCCAACTATCCCTGGATCGCCAAACCAGGAAGCCTAATGCGACCATATACATATATAACTAGGTCCTCTGGTCCAAGATTTCATCCCCTAATGCCAAGCTTTTATTGGACCACCTTTGGCCTTGTTGCACTTATGACCGGCAGAAAATGAACTCACTTTTAACAGGTAGGTATTTAGTGAGCAAAGCCTGAGTTCGACGAATGATACAGCGATTAACGATGACCAAAAGCTGGAAGGTGGAAAATAGAAAGTGTTTCCGTTTTACACAATTCAAATGTATATTTATATACTTTGCAGTGAAACAACTTATGACATTAAGAAAACTGCCAACATTTTCAATGCAAGAAATAATGTAGTAGAAAGGGTAGACCCGACAGACATGATAACTCGTTTGGATTGCGGAAACTGACAA